TTTTTGTCTTTTTGAGACAGGGTCTTGCTATGCAGTTCAGGCTGGTTTTGAGCTCACTTTGTAGCCCAGGCTGGTCTTGAACTTGCAATAATCCTGCCTCAGCCTCCCGAATGCTGGGATTACAGGCGTGTGCCTCCATGCCCGGCTCGATGATGGGTTTTGAAAGCCCTTTTGACCTGCAATGTGTAGCATGCATTTTTAGAAGCAAAAGGAGTGTCTTCCCTTCACAGGTGCGCTGCTGCTGTCAGCCTCAGCAGTGATCTTGGGATCATCCTGTATGTGGAGTGTCTCTTTCTATGATAGGCTTCTTCCTTTGGACCCCAGGGGGTCCAGCATGGAGGGGACTTCTGTCCCCATTTCCCTTCTCCACAGCAGCCCCTCCACTGCTCTCTCAGGCTGCCAGGTGGGGTCTGGTCTGAGCAGTCCTGTGAGGAACCCGCCTTTAGGACTGAGGTCCTCCCTGCACTTGAGGTGGGTTCATCTCAGAGAGCAGCCGATCCCAGGGTCGGTGAGTAGGGGATGCTGGGAAGTGCAGGTGGGCTGCGGCCCCCAAGGGAGAGGATGGGCTGCTTTTTGTCCAGAAGTAATGTAGAAGACAGAACTCACGGATCACTATTGGGCAGGAGGCATGAAGTCACTTTCATAGGTCGAAAATGGCCAAGTCCCAGCACATCTGTGTGGCTCAGAGTGAGGTGGAAGGAGGCTAGAGGGACAGTGCAGGCCGTGTGTGGGCATGACGGGGTCCTGCTTTAAAGATGATGTGATGAGGGCTCCGGGAAGTGCCTGCCCGTGTGTTAGACACGGGGACAGTCCTGGGGCTCCTGAGGACGTGGTGTGTGTGCCTGGGGCTGGCTTGGAGTTCAGGAAGGAGACTCTGATGAGCAGGGCACGTGTAGAGGGGCGTCGGGACACAGGCCAGTGGCAGCCGCCAGGTGAAGGGCTGTGGCGGTTGCTTCCTATAGGGTTGGGACTTTGCAGGATAAAAGGCGATGTCAGGACTTCTGTTCTGCAGCCCCCACGCTCTGGCGCAGGTCCCAGGCTAGGAGGATACACGATGAGTCACTTTGCATCTCCACCTTCGTGTTTTGGAAGAAAAGACATTCGTGTCGCCAACACTGGTGGGGTCTCCTGTTTGACAGCAGGGAGCAGGATGGGGCTGGGGCCAGGAGGGCCTCCCTGGGAAGTGCCGAGATCTTGGACGAAGATCTTGATGGGGATCAGGCCAGCCGTACCAAGGCTGTGGGGCAGCAAGTGCAGAGGCCCTGGGGGCACTGTCATAGGCCGAGACCAAGGTGGGGGTGAGTCTGGTCTGAGAGTTTCTACCAGCACATTCTGGGGTAATTGCTGAATTTTGTGTTTTTCCTCTGGGAATGACGGGATCTTCGTTCCTGCTGCTCTGAGGAACAGGCTGTTTGGCAGTGTTCACCAGCATCTCCAAAGTCACCGTCTGGGCAGGAAGCCCTTCTAGACCTTAGTCAGCTTGCCGGTTCTCAGGTGGACTTTGAAGTTCCTGTTGTAGCTGGGTTCACATGTGGAGCACGACAGAAGGACTTAGCTGCCCTGGGCCTGGCCCTTGTGTGGGGCTGGGTGCTGGGGTCCCCTCCCAGGTCGAGGCTGGGGGTTACCAGTATGTGGACCGGGCTCCTCCCTCCCCTGGCGTCACCTGGAGCACGTTAGGGAGCTCTTCAGTACTGGGACTCACCCCAGTGCTTTTTAAACTTACTTGATTATGGTTTCTGGGCCCAGATATATTGCTGAAACTTGTGAGTGGAGGGAGAACTAATAATCCAGCTGTAGAAGTAAGCTGGTGGTATAGCCAGGTCACAGCTGTGGTGTGTGTGAGAGCGCGTGTGTACACGCACATGTGCAGGCAGAGCACGCGCTCAGTCCAGCCAGGCTGGCTGGAGGGCCTTCTGGGCCTCACAGTCAGGAATGTTCTCCCGCCTGCCCGGCTGTCCTGGGCCGAGAGTGCACCTGACTTTCTGTCCCCCAAGAGCTCCAAGAGTGAACAGGTTTCCTGCCTTTATGGTGCTGAGGGGGCATCTTCCGCTCAGGCTGCCGGCCCCTGCCCTCTGGCAGAGAGAGGGAAAGGCGGGGTCCAGGAGCCCAGGGGCCTGTATTGTCTGTGTCCTCCACGCCCCCAATAGTCGGGCTCCAAGTGCCGGTACAGGAATTGCTCCCTCCTCAGCCTTGGAGGCTGGGCAGGGGCTCGGCTGGGTGGCGAATGAATCTGGGGCAGGTGTCACGCCTGGGTTGTGGAACCTGATAAGAAGTGGAATTTTCTGGACAGAAGCACCTGTCTAGGGCCAGACAGTGTGCTGGAGTGTGGAACAAGAAGCAACTCGGGGCTGTGGTGGCGGTGTAACTTGGCTGTCTGCAGACACAGACACACTGAGCTTGTGTGGTGGGACAGCCGTAGGCTGCTCCCCGCTCAGGCCGAGCCCAGCCCTCTAAGAGCCAGGGGCCTGGGATCGGAGCACGTGCCAGGCTGGTCACACTGGAACAGTACCGCCAGGCAGAGTGGCCCGGGCACAGCCCGCTCACAGGGCGAAGGCACCTGTTGGGACAGTTGTGCAGAAGCAGTTAGCGGTGGGCACTGCGAGTGGGAGGTGGCGTGACGGGCTTCGGCAAGGCCGTCATGGAACTGGCCATGGACGGTGACTGTGGACACCTCGGGCAGCAGTGGCCGCAGGAGCAGCTGCTCCCACCTTCTCCTGTACAGCTCGCCCAGCCCTGGTGGTCCCCGCGCCAAGAAAGCGCCCCTGCCAGCACGCTCTTGCTCTCACATCTGAGGATGCGGAAACTGCAAGAGCAGGTGTTCGCCCACCGTGCCCCACACAGCCCCGCGTGGTGGTGCACATCTGTAACCCCCGACTCAGGAGGTGGGGGGCTTAGTGAGACTGTTTCAAAATAAAACCCAGAGGGCAAAGGTATAGCTCATGGCTTCCTGTAGTCAGTCCCTGGTACTGAGAGAGAGAGAGAGAGAGGGAGGGAGAGAGATCCAGAATGTGATGCTGGTCTTCCTTCTAGGAAAAAATGTCTTCATTGCAGTGTGCTTTTAACCCAGTAGTTGCCCTCCTAAGAAAAGTGTATGAAAGCAGTGCTGGGCAAGCTGGGCGTGGTGGCGCACGCCTGTAATCCCAGCACTCAGGAGGCAGGAGGATCGTTGTGAGTTCGAGGCCAGCCTGAGCCACAATGTGAGCTCAAGGCCAGCCTGAACTGCATAGCGAGACCTTGTCTCAAAAAGACCAAAAAAAAAAAACCAAACAAACAGGGCTGGGCAGCGAGTAGGTGTTACAATCTGGACCCAGCACCTTGTAGATGGGGCTCCTGACAATCCAAATGTGCCTTGCAGCAGCCACAGGGCCCTTGAAGGAGCCCTGGCCTGTGGGAGCGAGGCGGGTGTAACTGGGGCCAAGGGTGTGGGTGTCCCCACCCTGGGTGCAGACGCTGTTCGTGACGGGCTCCCGGCTTCCCTGTGGGACCTGATGCCTGCCCTGTTGCCATGCAGTGCTCTTTGCCCACCTGGTCCTGCATCAGGGCTCAGTGGCCTGGAGGCGGTGGCAGGGGCTGCTGGCCGTGTGATCCGAAGCAGTGGCTCCTGCCCCCTGGCCAGTGGGCAGTGTGTCTCAGGCGGTACCGTCAGGGATGGCGGTGTACATGCGCACAGGGCTCTCCAAGTGGCCCTTTGTGCTGGCTTTCACTGCTGTGTCAGTACATCAAGGCTCCAGCCCGGGCAGCTTCTGGGCTCTGCTGCCTGGGGTGCAGCGCACTGTGCTCGGAGACAGCTCATCCCTGGGCTTCTTAGAGAATTCCTCGCTGCTTGTGGCCCTCAGGCACGGGCGGCGGGCGTTTCCCTCACTCCCCTGTTGTGCCGCAAACCAGGCTCTGAGGCCAGGCCACACAGAGCGCAGCAGTTGGGTTGGGTCCTTGCAGCCAGGCTGTGCCAGGGCCGGCACTGCCCAGGCGTCACAGGAGGCTGCATGCCTGGGCTCTCGCAGGTGACACTGCCACTCTCTCTAGGTTGGACCTGAGGGCATCCTGCAGAATGGGGCCGTGGATGACAGCGTGGCCAAGACCAGCCAGCTGCTGGCTGAGCTAAACTTCGAGGAGGATGAAGAAGATACCTATTACACGAAGGACCTCCCCATCCACGCTTGCAGGTGGGCCCTGGCCAGGGTGGGTGTCCCCTCCCATGTGTGGGCAGGGTCCTTGTACTGTGCTTAGGGGGAAGAAAGTTACCCGTAAACGTCCCTATTACTGGGTGGCACTCTCCGACACCCTGAATTCGCCCAGCTGAGGCGCCCCTTCTGGCCCCAGACGGGTGCGCCTAGGCACTGGTCCCGGTGGGTGCCCTGCTCACAGCCGACGGGCACTCAGGCAGGGGAGGAGTGGCAGAGTTTTGAAGGCCTGGCCACCCTGAGGCAGAGGCTCCGGCTGCAGAGACCTGGCTGTGCTGAGTGCAGCTCAAGACCTGGTGCTGACCAAATTTGGAATTCTTGCTCCGCTGGGGCCATGTATCCCTTGCATTTGGGCTCATTCTTGCTTTTTTATTCCTCACACATGAAGGAATTGAGACCAGTTTTGCTCAGGGCAGCGGGCCAGTCAGGGCAGCTGGGGGCCCAGCCTTGGCACTGCTGCCAGGCCGAGGCACGCTGCCCCTTTTGATCTCTGTCCGCCGCACTGTCACCTCTGCTGCTCGCTGGCCCGCGCTCCGGGGTAGATGGCAGCTCCTTCCCCTGCTTTCGGGACCACATGTTGTATTTTGGCTCTGTTGGCGCTGTGATCCCTGAGGGTTTGCATGAGTGTGAGGTGTTTCTGCTGCGTACAGAGCTGAGGAAATCACCTTGTGAGCTGTGGGGGCTTCGCTGCGCAGGGAGGTGGGGTTCTTCCCTCTCCCCGCGTGGAGTAAGGGCTGCAAGCTGGGGCGGGGGCTCCTAACTGGCTGGCCGGCGTGCATTCTGGTGGAGACTGACTCTTGGCTTCTTGCACAAGCGGAGCTGTTGGAGAGCCAGTGTTTTTGCTGTGTTCATTTTCAGAAAACCCAGCCCAGGTGCAATGGGGCGGGGCGGGGCGGGGCGGGGCGGGGCGGGGCGGGGCGGGGCGGGGCGGGGCGGGGCGGGGCGGGGCGGTCCCCTCCCCCCAGGTGCTCCTGGCCTGAGCTCAGGCTGCTGGGGCGGCCCTCTTTACCAGGGCCAGCGCTGTATTCCCGGGAGCACAGCGCCCCCTGCTGGAGACTGTGGCTCAGTGGGCGCCTTGGCACTGTACAGACCAGGACCTGCAACCTGGGGCTTGGGGAGGAATTAGAATTGTGCTGGGGTGCAAGACTCCCCTGGGCCTGGCTGGGCCTCGCCCTCCCTGGTGGGTGCCTCCCCACGCAGCACCCAGGCTGCCCAGGCTAGGAAGCGTGTGCGGCTAGCCCGAGGTTTGAGTATGTGTTTAATGAAAAACTTAAAAATGTTGTAAGAGGAAGGAATTTTACATTCTGCCAAATTAAAACCAGAGAGTGACTTTCCAGCTTTTAACTGTTGATGTTCGGACTTTTTAGTTATTGCGGAATACATGATCCTGCCTGCGTGGTTTACTGTAACACCAGCAAGAAATGGTTCTGCAACGGCCGTGGAAATACTTCTGGCAGGTAGATAATCAAACCATGCATGTGTCTCTAATCAGTGTGCTCGGATTTGTGTGTAAATTATGGAAATGGTGAAGCAAAGCGCAATATAAAGTCACGCTAACAAACCTGGTTTTTTTCTCCTCTGTGACTGGTTTAACTTGAAACAGATGGTGGTGTGTGAATGCCTTAATGTATTTACCCTTGATTTATTCTCTGTGGTTCTTTTATTATGCAAGGAGGCTTGGCTTAATTCTCTTTCCCAGTGTTTATTTCTCTCTGCGAGATGAGTGCGGGCACACCCGCCCCGTCGGGCTCCTTACCGGCTGTTGCCAGGGTGTCCAGGCACCGGGGAGCTGGCTCCAAGAAGGTTTGCCCCGGCCTGCAGCTCTAGGCTAACTCCCCCTAGATCCTGAATGGTCTGATTAAATCAGGCTCACTTGACTGTCCGTGTAGGGCGTCCCGGCCTGCTGTTGCTCGGCAGCACCGGGGGCGGCTTGCAGTGTGTGCTGGGACGGGTGAGTGTCTTCCAAGAGCTGGGTTCCGGGAGGGGCTTTCCTGGCGAGTCCCTTTGGGCTGCGGGGATGTGTGAGGGAGCTCCACGGCTGCACAGCCAGAGCAGGGACCTGCAGGTCCTGGCTCCCTGTGGCCAACAAGACAGCTGAGTCCTTTCTACGGCTCATGTTTTGGAGAAAGAAGATGACAGATGGGGCAGAAGGAGTGCGTTCGCAGAGCGCAGGGCTGCCTGGACCCGCAGAGGGGTCTCAGGCCTTAGCAGGCAAGGGAGGGGCTGAGTCTTAGAAAGTAACCGAGACTCGCGTGACTGTTGGGAATATTCTGGGTGATTTAAGTGTTGCTCTGTTGGCATGAGTTCCTCTCGTGCAGGAAAAGCAATTAAGTCACACTCTTTTTAGCTGGCAACCCTGGCTTCCGGTCAGCACAGCCAAGAACAGGGAAGTGAGCAGGGCCTCAGGGAGAGGCGGCCCGCCAGCCCCACTGTGTGCTCTGCACGGCATGGCCCGGACAGCAGGCAGCGCCAGAGACTGAGCAGTGGGGCTGCTGGGACAGGCTGGCGGTGGCTCCTCCACAGAGCTGTCGGGCTGCCTCAGTGCCGAGGGCCACGCTGGCCGGCAAGGCAGAGGGCTGCATGGCAGTGCAGGAGTTACGGCTTGTGAAGGGCCGGGCCTTCCAAGGAGAGGGCGCGGTGAGGAGGCCTGAGGGTCACGGGGCAGCCCGGAGCGGGAGGCGACTGGGGAGCTCCCAGGTGAGGTTAGCGTGTGCTCAGGGTGGCCATGAGGCAGCGGGGTGGCCAAAAGGGCTCCATGGCGTGGCCCTGAGCCCCTCGGTGTTTCTTACCCGACTCTGGTTTCTAATAGGTTCGGTTATCAGGTTCCTGGTGCCGAGGTGAATTAGGAGGGGCTGCTGCTCCTGGAAGCGGGCACAGCCGTGGAGGAACGGCTTTGAGAGCCCAAAAGCTGCAGCAGAGGCCTGCGCTGCACGGAGGTCGGGCCCTGGGCGGAACCCGCCGTCCCAGGGCTGCCTCCGCCCAGCCGCAGGGGTTACCGAGGCCTGATGAGCGGGCTGTAAGGAGGCGAGAAGCGGGGAGACGCCCGCAGAACTCTGCGAACCTTGCTGAGGACGTTTTCCTTACAAGGGGTTGGAGTTCGAGTTGATTTTTACACTCCGTGGGGAGCCGCTTCAGGCAGGGCTGCTCCTTGGGGACGCCAGATGGATGAGGTGTGACTGCCGCTGCTAATGGACCGTGAACAGTACCGGAACTTTTAACGGGGCGAAGATTGGAAGTGGTGAAAAGCCAAGCTTCAGGTGTTAACTATTTATCATTTCCTGCTTTCAGCCACATTGTAAATCACCTCGTGAGGGCAAAATGCAAAGAGGTGACCCTGCACAAGGACGGGCCGCTGGGGGAGACAGTCCTGGAGTGCTACAACTGCGGCTGCCGCAACGTCTTCCTCCTGGGCTTCATCCCCGCCAAGGCTGACTCGGTCGTGGTTCTGCTGTGCAGGTGAGGCTGCCGGCCGGGCTGGGCCGGGCCAGGCCAGGCCGGGCCACTTCTCGAGTGAGTGGCCAGTGCGAGGAACACTTGCGGGTGTGTTCTGGTGAGACCGTCAGGGACTCCCTGAAGACAGTCTGTTCTGAGCTATAAGAGTGGAGACTCAGTTGTGCGGGGAGATGCGATTTACACTGACAGCGTAGAGCCTGGGGCCAGGGCAGTGGCTGGGCAGGTGCGGTCCTGACCGGCTCCCTGCCCTCCGGGCCTCCGCAGGCAGCCGTGCGCCAGTCAGAGCAGCCTCAAGGACATCAACTGGGACAGCTCGCAGTGGCAGCCCCTGATCCAGGACCGCTGCTTCTTGTCCTGGCTGGTCAAAATCCCCTCGGAGCAGGAGCAGCTGCGAGCACGGCAGATCACGGCTCAGCAGATCAACAAGCTAGAGGAGCTCTGGAAGGTGAGCATGGCCGCGGGGGCCTGGCCCTGGCCAGTGGGGTGACCTTCTCAGTCTCTGTTTTCTTGCTGGGAGGGGTGTGGGGCAGGCGCAAAGTTTGGGCACAGGCCAGTGGCAGATGTGTAGGGCACAGGCAAGTATATGGGTGTGAGTGAAAATGCTAGGAGCACTCCACAGGGTGGCGCACACCTATAATCCCAACCATTCAGGAGGCTGAGGCAGGAGGATCCGAAGTTCAAGACCAGCAGGGCAACTTGGTGTGGTCTTGTCTCAGAGTAAAACTGTGGAGCAGAGCACTTGCCTGCATGCTCCAGGGCCGCGGGCGCTGTCCCAGTGCCACAGATGAAGACCGAAGGAGCAGTGGCCCTGTGGGAAGGAGGTCAGGGTAAGGTAGCCCAGGCAAATGAGGGAAGAGGAGAGGGCCCCAGAGCAGAGAGCAGTGTTCCTGCCGCCTGCATAGGGCCCCGGAGCCCTCCTCTGGACCTGGCTGTTGAGGGCTTTGTGGTCGTGTCACTCCTGCTCTCGGGGTTGGGTGTGGTAATTGACACACACTCAGCCGGAGTCTGCACGAGGATCTGAATTTTCCTTGGTGCACGTCAGTGTTTCTCAGGTGCTGTCTGGCCTGGTTCCTTTGCACTTCTGGTTGCCCAGGTTGCCTCTCTGGGCACTGTCCCGTCCTCCATGCAGTGCTCCCCGGGCAGTTAGGTGTAGGGATGAGTGGGTATCAGGCCAGTTCAGGCAGCGGGACGTGGTGCCAGGCCGAAGGAGCCCCCTGCTGCACTGGGCTGGCCGCTCCCTGACTCTGCCCTGGGCTGTGCCGGCAGCTTGACCCAGGTGCTGGTGCGGTCAGCACACTGCAGGCACATCACAGCCGGCAGGGGGCAGTGGGCGGGACCTGGTCTTAGGCTGGCATTTAGCTCCCTTGTGGGCAGCTGTCAGGGGCGCTGACCTTGCTTCTTGCAGCGTGGCCATCACTCGTGCTTTGCCAGCAGGGGGCGCCCACTCCAGTCCTGCTCAGGCTCCTCTGCCCAGCCAGCTGCGTGTCCTGACCCTCAGGTGCCTGTGGGGCTCTCGCTGCTTGAGTGTGGGGGAAACGGTCCTGTTCTTTTCCTGCAGGAAAACCCTTCGGCCACCTTGGAGGACCTGGAGAAGCCAGGGGTGGACGAGGAGCCACAGCACGTGCTACTGCGCTACGAAGATGCCTACCAGTACCAGAATATCTTTGGGCCACTGGTCAAGCTTGAGGCCGACTACGACAAGAAGCTGAAAGAGTCTCAGGTGACGTGCGCAGGGCCCCAGACCCGCCCTCACAGAGCCCCTCCCGGCTCAGGCAGCCCGCACACAGTCACCGGGAGCCAGCGCTGGCTGGAGCATTGCTGTTTCTAACTCAACAAAAATCACTCGTGGTGTGGCTTACAGCTCCCCAAGCCACAAGAGCCAGACCTCGGGCCAGGCGCCACAGAGAGCGCGTCCAGGGGCCGGGCGCCCTGCCGCTGCCGGCCTCTCTCCTCGCAGGGGTCCTCGCGCACCACGGCGAAGCCTCGTGTGGAGTGACACCCTGCCCGCTGTGGCTGGGGTCTGCTGGGGGGTCCTCTGAAGTTCGACTCTGGATGCAGCACCCTGCGGTCCTGGTGCGAGGCTGCATGCAGGGGTACAGCTGCGTGGGTGCCGGCGCGAGGCTGACGGGGCTCTTGTTTTCCATGTGTTCAGACGCAAGATAACATCACGGTCAGGTGGGACCTGGGCCTTAACAAGAAGAGAATCGCCTACTTCACTTTGCCCAAGACTGACTCTGGTAATGAGGATTTAGTCATAATTTGGTTAAGAGGTGATTTTAAGTTTTAAAATATTTGTGACCATAAGTAGCATAAAATTCCTAGTTCGCCCTGTAAAGTGTCCCTTCGTGCGTGCGCTTCATGGGGGAGCGTGGCGGGGTGCAGACCGCACCAACTCCACCGTCTCTCCTCGATAGACATGCGGCTCATGCAGGGGGACGAGATCTGCCTTCGCTACAAGGGCGACCTGGCACCCCTGTGGAAAGGGATTGGCCACGTCATCAAGGTCCCTGACAGTATCCTTCGCGCAGAGGGACCGGGCCGCAGGGCTGTGCGGAGGCTTGGTAAGACCTCCGCCCGCGGGAACCCACGGCTCCTTACCCCGGCCAAGGGAGCCAGACGTGCGCGGGGCTCCCCTCGGCCAGACAGGGCAGCCAGCGTGGGTCAGCGCACCTGCCTCGGCGAGGCTGCTCCACCTGTGCAAGTGTGAGTGAGGGGAAGGGGGCGGGAGACAGACAGACAGACGCAGGGCCGCCGGGAACGGGCGTGTGGGCTTTGAACAAGGAAGCAAACTTAACCCAGCGCCCAGATTATGGTGATGAGATCGCCATCGAGCTCCGCAGCAGCGTGGGCGCGCCCGTGGAGGTGACACACAACTTCCAGGTGGACTTCGTGTGGAAGTCGACCTCATTTGACAGGTGTGTCCGCCTTCCTCCCCCTCTGCCGCCTCCCGCTTCCGGTCCCCGCAGGTCAGGTTCAGGACCTGCTGTGTCCCTGACCCTGGGCTTCCTTCCAGGATGCAGAGCGCTTTGAAGACCTTCGCGGTGGACGAGACCTCTGTGTCAGGCTACATCTACCACAAGCTGCTGGGCCACGAGGTGGAGGACGTGATCATCAAGTGCCAGCTGCCCAAGCGCTTCACTGCGCAGGGGCTCCCCGACCTCAACCACTCACAGGTGTACGCCGTGAAGACGGTGCTGCAGAGGCCGCTGAGCCTCATCCAGGGCCCACCTGGCACAGGGAAGACCGTGACGTCTGCCACCATCGTCTACCACCTGGCTCGGCAGGGCAACGGGTAGGCCGCGTAGGCCCGGGGGTGGAGCTGGGTCTGATGACCTGAGGCGAGCCTGTGGTGACAGTGCCGCCGTGCTGCACGGGACTTGGCAATGGCTATGTAATTGGGCCAGCTGCCTTCACGGAGCGGCCCTGATTGGTGCGTGCTATGCTCTCTTCTGTCTTTGCGTGTCTCAGAACTGTCCCCTCTGTCACGTGGACAGGAGGGTGAGGCTGTGGAGAACTGGGCACCCAGCAGGAGACCAGAAACTGGGTCTTGGCTCGTGTGTGGTGACAGTGTGGTGCCAGCCGCCTTTTGCCGGGCGGCTCCTCGGATGCTGAGTCCCTGTCTTGTTGCAGACCCGTGCTTGTGTGTGCTCCAAGCAACATCGCCGTGGACCAGCTGACGGAGAAGATCCACCAGACGGGGCTCAAGGTTGTGCGCCTCTGTGCCAAGAGCCGCGAGGCCATCGACTCGCCAGTGTCCTTCCTGGCCCTGCACAACCAGATCAGGAACATGGACAGGTGTGTGTGGCGGCTGGATGCCCAGGGTGGGCCGGGCCGGGCCGGGCCGGGCACTGACCTGCGCTCGCTCGTGTGCGCCACAGCATGCCGGAACTGCAGAAGCTGCAGCAGCTGAAGGACGAGACCGGGGAGCTGTCCTCCGCAGACGAGAAGCGCTACCGGGCCCTCAAGCGCACGGCCGAGAGGGAGCTGCTCATGGTGAGCCCTGGGACAGTGCACCCTCGCCTGGCCTGTGGTTAGGAGACCCATGGTTTCCCAGGCAGCATGCACTCCTGCCGTCCTCTGCGCTGCTGCTGGGCCTTTGGGAACCTGGTCTGTGTGCCGGAGGAGGGCCCTCTCCTGCTCGCTTACAGCCAGTCGTGCACCGCGGCGTAGGCGCTGTGGTGTAGGTTTGCCGGCTCACAGCTACCTGAGGGCCGCACTTTGTGGAGGTCCCACTGCTGCCCAAAGTGTAGCCCTGAAAATTTTTAGCCACCTCCGCCTGGGCCTTCGGCACGTGCAGGAGGACAGCTTATTCACGTGGGGTCAGGAATGTGGGAGGGACCCAGAAACGCTGGCTGCACAGTGCCTGATGCCTCTGTCCATGACCCCAGAACGCTGATGTCATCTGCTGCACCTGCGTGGGCGCCGGCGACCCGAGGCTCGCCAAGATGCAGTTCCGCTCCATCCTGATTGACGAGAGCACCCAGGCCACGGAGCCCGAGTGCATGGTTCCCGTGGTCCTTGGGGCCAAGCAGGTGGGCCTGCTGCGGGGCGAGGGCCCTGGGAGTGTGGCTGTGGACCCTGGCTCCTGCCGTGGTGCTGGATCATAGGGTGCTTGAGCTTCCCAACCTGCGTGGGCCTCTCCCGCAGCTGATCCTTGTGGGCGACCACTGCCAGCTGGGCCCGGTGGTGATGTGCAAGAAGGCGGCGAAGGCCGGGCTGTCGCAGTCTCTCTTCGAGCGCCTGGTGGTGCTGGGCATCCGCCCCATCCGTCTGCAGGTCCAGTACCGCATGCACCCTGCGCTCAGCGCCTTCCCATCCAACATCTTCTACGAGGGCTCGCTGCAAAACGGCGTCACTGCAGGTGACAGGCTCCAGGGCTCGGGGAGTGGCGAGGTGCAGCGGGCGCTGCGTTGGAGGCCGGGCTGGGTGCCTCGGGCCGTGTGGGCGGAGGGGCAGAACGCGGGCCTGCGGAGCGCGCATCCTGCACAGAGCTCTGGGTGGCCGCACAGCCGCCAGCATGGGATTAGAGTGCCAGCCGCCCGTGCTCCGCTTTCTGCTGGGCAGTGGTGCAGTGGTCCCCAAACTCTGGAACCCCAGGATGGCCCTGGAATGTGGGTGTCCCCTGAGGTCAGGAGGGCTTCGATGATACGTAGCACCCTTACCCCATTCTGCCTACCTCTCCGTGTGGTGAGGTACCACCAAGCCCCAGAGCTATCAGCACCACACGCTGCCATGAGGAATGCCCTGGAAGGGCAGAGGGGGACTGGCCCGGCTGCAGCTGTCCTCGTCGCCAGGCTGCCAGGGGGTGTGCTCGGGACACACGTGTCTCAGACTCGGTGCTCCTGCACAGGCGTGTTTACAAAAGTGAGGCCTGTGGGTTGGACGCAAACAGCTTTGCGTGGCACAGGCCTGTTGTCCGGGTGCTCAGGAGGCTGAGGCAGGAAGAGTGCAGCTTAGTGTGAGGGCCTGTCTTAAAACAGTGGAACAGAACAGAGAAGGCCCTGAAGATCCAAATGAGAGTGGGGTTTACGGAAAACCTAGTGCCTGAGTGAATTTGGTGTCCTGGTGCCTGTTTTTGTTGAGCCGGTGCTGGCTTGTCTGCACCGTTGACCGTGAAAGTCGCCTGAGGAAGATGTGTGGGGCTCAGGGCAGACAGTGCCCACACTGCCGGCACGGAGTGTCGTGGCCGTAGGGAGGCCGCAGGTCTGTCCCGCCTGCGTGCGTGCACGTGCCTGTGTCAGCGAGGTGACAGGGGCGGCACCCAGGCCCTCGGGAAGCTGCCCCACTAGGCTGCCGTCCAGGGCCCTGCCTCGTTTCCCGTTTCCTTTTCTTGGGAAATGGTTATTTTTATAAACAACTATTTAACGTAACGGGTTGTGTGTGTTCGTGGCTGGGGATCGAGCCCCTGGCTTCCAGGCCTTTAATTTTGAGAGGGGGTCTCACTGGCTCTTAGTTCAGCTGCCCAGTCTAGCCTTGAACTTGTGACCCTCTTGCCTCAGCCTCCCAGAGAGCTAGGATTATAGGAATACACCCCCATTCCTGGCCAGGTTTATTTTTAAACTTGTTAATATGTCCTTTAACTCTTGAGTTTTGAAGCAAGGTAAATTATGTTTACATAAACAAAAGCTCCTCAGCTTTTCAGGAGCACAAAGTCCTGCTGATCACGCTGTGGAGCCGGAAGGGCTGCATCCTACCCACTTTGCAGAGAGTGCCTTCTGGGCCCGGGGGCAAGGGCCAGCGAGGCCCTGCGAGGCCCTGCTGGGAGCTGGGCCTCTGGGGCTGCACTGACTGGAGCCAGCTGGTTACGTCCCCTTGTGGAGTCGGTGCCCTGCAGGGTCTGTGGAGACGCTGTGACTTTATTCTCTGAGGTGACGCGTTGCTTTTTCGTCCTGATGGCAGCCGACCGTGTGAAGAAGGGTTTTGACTTCCAGTGGCCCCAGCCCGACAAGCCCATGTTCTTCTACGTGACGCAGGGCCAGGAGGAGATCGCCAGCTCGGGCACGTCCTACCTGAACAGGTGAGCAGAGCCGTGGCGCTGCCCGCCCTGAGCCCCAGCCCGCCCATCTGCCTTTGCCTTCCTGGTGTCTTCACAGCGGGTGCTGTCGACCCGCGTCTTTCCTGGCTCTCGTGGCCCTGGTAAAGGATGGGCGGGCCAGGCTGCGGGCACCCTGGGCGTGGCAGGTGCTGTCAGCCTGACCTTGCCGATGTCATGCAGCTCCTGTGGGTGTGGGTGCTCCAGGCAGAGCCACCCTGGCCTCACACAGCCCTGCCCCGTGTTCGTAGGACGGAAGCTGCCAACGTGGAGAAGATCACCACAAAGCTGCTCAAGGCCGGCGCCAAACCCGACCAGATCGGCATCATCACGCCCTACGAGGGCCAGCGCTCCTACCTGGTGCAGTACATGCAGTTCAGCGGCTCCCTGCACACCAAGCTATACCAGGTGGGCATTTGCCGCCGCCGCCGCCACCGCGGCCCAACCTGGGCACCCAAGAGGGCCCACCCGGCAGCTCAGCATGAGCCTGACACGCACACGTATTAACACAGTAAGTGCAGTGTCCCTGTCAGGCCCACGTGGCCGGGAGTGCAGGGCTGCACACCTGTAATCCCAGCGCTCGGGAGGCTGAGGCAAGGTTGCAGGATCACCGACTGCATCGTAAGATGGTGTCTCACAGAGCCAAGACAAAATGCAGTGCCCTTGGGGTGTATCTCAGGACCCGTCTGCAGGGTTGGGAAGGGAGGGAGCACCCTTGTTACCCTGGAGAGAGTGTCAGGTATGGCGCCAGGACTCGTGGACCTACATGCCCAGGCCACGACTGGTGGTGGGAGCAGTGTCCGTTTTCCACATGTGAGCGAGAGGAGCGTGGGCGGGGGTGTGGCTCACTGTGGGACCCTGGCCTGCTCCGCGCAGGGCGCCGCACAGCAAGACGCGCAGACTCACTGTGGCCAAGAGCAGGCCCGGCCCGCCCTCAGGGTGGCCCTCTGCGTGTCCCCTCTGTGCAGCCAGGGGCCCTAGAGGGCAGCCTGTGACTGATGGGTCATCACTGCCCCTTCCAGGAGGTAGAGATCGCCAGCGTGGACGCCTTTCAGGGCCGGGAGAAGGACTTCATCATCCTGTCCTGTGTGCGGGCCAATGAGCACCAAGGAATCGGCTTTCTAAACGACCCCCGGCGTCTCAACGTGGCCCTGACCAGAGCTAGGTAGGCTGCCGCGGGGCTCCTCCCCACCACACGTCTCAGCCGGGTCCTTCCGCTCCCAGGTCCCTGTGGCCGGCCGTCTGGGGTGTGTGTGTGCCTTAGGCCAGCCACAAGTCTTTGTCAGGGCCTGCGGCAGAGGGGATTTGTCTCTGCCCGAGTCCCTCAGCCATGGCAGGGTCTGACAGCCCTTGGCCTATCTCCTGTGTCCCGTGCAGCTCCCAAGTTCCTGGGGGAAGGACAGGGATAAAGATAAGAGAAAGCTGAGGTCAGTGGAGCCCTCTGTCCAGTGGGAGGGGAGTTGCTGCTCAGCCGCCACGGTGCCTTTGTCACGCGCAGCCCCTTTCCTTAACTGGCAGGCTGGAAGCCCTGTCCGCCTGGGGCGCTCCATGCCCTCGGGGTGTCCCCCTGGGCGCTCTGTGCTTTTGGCTGCACACACAGAGAGGTCACTAACTCAGCCGCTCCAGTGCTGGTCTGCAGTGTGATTCTGAAGTGGTAGAAGAAGGGACCCTGAGAAGAAAGTGACCACAGCGTCGGTGGACAGCAACTGTCACCTCACCAGCTGGACTGCTCGGGACCCAGCCCACACGCCAAGTTCACTGCAGTGCACAGGCTGGGACTGCAGCTCACGGCCACACATCGTCGCCCAGTTGCTCAGCTGCCGCCCTGCCCGGTGGCCCGCATTAGGTGGCGGGGCAGCTTCTGGGTGCCAGGAAACTGGCTTGAGCCTGCAGACGGGCTTTGTCTCCAAGCTCGTAACCCACCCCCCACCCCCGGCGGAAGCGCGCCTGTAGCCGGGCCCGTGAGCCGTGAGCCGGGCTTGGGCTGCACTCAGCCTGCTTCCTGTCTGGTCTGCACGCTGACGCCACCGATCTTGAGCGCCGCGCTGTCCCCACAGGTACGGCGTGATCATCGTGGGCAACCCAAAGGCGCTGTCGAAGCAGCCGCTGTGGAACCACCTGCTGAACTACTACAAGGAGCAGAAGGTGCTGGTGGAGGGGCCGCTCAACAACCTGCGCGAGAGCCTCATGCAGTTCAGCAAGCCGCGCAAGCTGGTCAACACCATCAACCCGGTGAGCGCGGCAGCGGGGCGGGCCGCTCGCTGTGGGGACTCGGAGTCAGACAGCTGAGCTGGGTCCCAACAGACGGACGTCGGGTGCAGAGGTCAGGAAACAGCAGGCTGGGTACCGTGGTCTGCAGCTGCCTTGGTTCTCATGCCAGCTACCACCAGGCCACCGGGTCTGTGGGAAGGTCATCTTCCGTTGACCTGACACATTCTTCACTGGTCTGCGACTTTGCAGGGGGCCCGCTTCATGACAACAGCCATGTATGACGCCCGAGAGGCCATCATCCCGGGGTCCGTGTACGACCGCAGCAGCCAGGGTGAGTGCCTGGGCGGGCTGTGGTGTCCCCACGCCTCTCGTTGGCTCCCTCGCTCCCTGGGTGGCCTCGCGAGCTCAGGGCGCATGGCCCACCTGACAGGAGGGGCACGTCGCAGTGTCCCCCTTGGGAACTGGACAGCTGGTCTCTGCTGGCTCCTAAGCAAGGCACCTTCTCCGACACGCACCCTCGGGTCAGTGCAGTGGGCCCTGGGGCAGCCCTGACTGTCGTCCTCCGCCCTGTGCTCGTGTCCTCAGGGCTTCGCTGCGGCCCGCGGTTTGCGCGGGGCCTGCGCGCCTGGCCCGAGCCCTTCCCCGCAGCTTCCCTCCTCTGCCCTGAGCCTGCCCGGCGTGGCCTCGCGCTGCGCAGGCCGTGTGCACTCCCTGTGGTCCCTCCGAGGCGGTGGTGCTGACACACCTGGCCTGCACCGGGTGCCCCACGGCCTAAGACCTGCTCCTGTGGCCTCCCCGGCCCCTGCAGTGGCCCTGAGCCTGGAGTCTGTTGGCCTTTGCCAGACCTGGCATGTCTGTGTCCCCATGGGGACCCCAGTGTTCGCTTCCTTTTTGGTGAGGCCGCGGGGCGGGGGAAGGGGAGATTTGCTATGGAAGGCCTTTCTGGCAAATGCACTGCAGTTTCAGTGTTTCGGGTCCCCCGGGCAAAAATACACTCAGAGTCCCAACGGGCGAGAGGCGCGGGAGGGCAGCGGCGGGGCCGGCGCTGAGACCGGGCAGCAGACTCAGCAGTCCCGACGCCTGCTGTGCACCTCACCCCGCAGGCCGGCCGTCGAACATGTACTTCCAGACGCACGACCAGATCGGCATGATCAGCGCGGGCCCGAGCCACGTTGCCGCCATGAACATCCCCATCCCCTTCAACCTGGTCATGCCGCCCATGCCGCCGCCCGGCTACTTCGGACAGGCCAACGGGCCGGCGGCCGGTGAGCGCCGCAGCCCCACGCCCTCCTGTGCCCTGCGTGCCACTCTCCTCGCCCCTGCAGCTCACCCATGTGGCTGTTTTTCAGGCCGGGGCGCCCCGAAGAGTAAGACCGGTCGTGGGGGGCGCCAGAAGAACCGCTTCGGGCTACCTGGGCCCAGCCAGACCACGCTCCCCAACAGCCAGGCCAGCCAGGACGTGGCGTCGCAGCCCTTCTCGCAGGGCGCGCTGACGCAGGGCTACATCTCCATGAGCCAGCCCTCCCAGATGAGCCAGCCCGGCCTCTCCCAGCCCGAGCTGTCCCAGGTGAGCCGCGCCCCTGCCGTCCTGCCGCCCGGGCCGGGGGACCCGAGCGTCGGCGGACGCCTCTGCCACTCACGCTCCGGCCTTGTCTTTCAGGACAGTTACTTGGGTGACGAGTTTAAATCACAGATTGACGTGGCACTGTCGCAAGACTCCACGTACCAGGGAGAGCGGGCGTACCAGCACGGCGGGGTGACAGGGCTGTCCCAGTACTAGAAGGCAAGCGCCCCGCGCCTGGCCCAGGATGGACGGGCCGCGGCAGGGGGCGGCAGGGTCCGCCCGGGGCTGCTGCCGGTGGGCCCGCTGCCCCGCCACTCCTGACGCGTCTCCTGTCCCCTCCTGCAGGTGGCGGCGGAAGAGCTAAGCTCTGTGGCTTAGTGCATCAGCATCTTATTCTGGGTAATAAAAAATAAAAATAAATGGATACCTGTTTTCCACTGCTAAAACTGAAGCACCACTGTGTGAGCAACAGGAGAGGGAGAGGAGCCGCCGAGGGAGAGGAGCCGAGCACGAGCGCCCTGTGGGCGGCAGCGGCTGGCGGCGGCGGCGGCAGCGCACGAGGAGGAGAAGGGAGAGCAGACGGGAGGTGGCGGCCCAGGAGCCCGCCGCCCGGGAGGCCCAGCTCGCCGCGCACCCCTGGGCCCGCGACCAGGCGGAGGGAGAAGACCCTCATCTCAGAGTAGCCCTTTCCTCTGGTTTTTCTTTCTTTTCTCTTTTATTGAAAGGGGACTACATTTTAGCAGGAAAAAACTTGGCGTTTCTGTGCCCTAGCAGGCTGCTGGCGGCGGCCGTGCCAGCCGGGCCCGAGGAGCGCAGCTCCCGGACTGCCCAGGTCCCCTGGCCTGTGTTCTAAGGGTTTCACTTAAAGAAAATATGGTGTTTTGGGTTTTTCTGTTTGTTTTTTTAAAGATTTTTCAAAGAAGTACTGAAAAATACTTTTCTAAGTTTGTCTCTAAGATCTTAGCGGTGGACCTGGGAGTCGTGAGCAGCTTCCAGAAACGAGGTGTCAGTTGGCGCACCCGGAGGCCGGAGCGACGCCGGACGCAGTCTCAGGAGGATGTTTAAGGTTTTGCTTCAGCGGCTTCGCAATGTGGGCAGCGGCCCGGCCCAGAGGCCCACGCGTGCCTCCAAGGACTCCGAGGAGCGTGGCCACTTCCACGCCGTGGACTCGCCGGGGCTCTGGCCGCCCCATGGAAGGTGCTCGTGGCCCCACAGCGACCTCAGCCAGGACTGCCTGGGGCAGGAAGGCGCCATTCCGTTCCCGGCCCGGTGGTTTTTGTCCCTTGGGGTGTGGTGGAAGGTGACAGCCAGAGGGCTGTCCCCATCCTGGTGGGCTCCCAGTCCCGTGCTGCCCACAGCCTGCCTGCCGGCCCAGCCTGCTGACGGTGGGGAAGGGAGCATACCGAGGGGTGGCCGGCTCTGCCCGAGGGCCTGGAGTCAGCTCCTCCGTGGACAGTGCGTGGCGCTGCTCTGGGCGCAGGGCGAGAGTTGGTCGCGAGTCGGGCGGCCTCCCCTGCCCCGCGCGCCCTGGGAGCCAGCTGACCGGACGCAGGGCCGCCTGCCTGGGGCCGGGATGCTTTCCCATCGCAGGCTTTTGGTTCCCTTCTTCCCTAGGCCGCTAGAGGCACCCCGCCAGGCCCCCTTCCCCGCCCGCCCTGCCTCTGCCTGTGCCCTTTGCTTTGCCCTCCACCTTCCCAGCAGTCACTCTTGAGTTCTACCGGTCGGCAAGCATCCGTACCAAGGCAATGTAACTTGATTTTTGGTCAATATGTTTTAAGCTCTTTTGTCACCAATAAAATCTTAATAAACAGTTCCTGCCTTTACATGGGGCTGGCTGGACTGCGTGGACAGCGAGGGCCGGGGCTGGACAGCGGGTGCGGAGGGGCAGGGCCGGCTCCCCTTCCTGGCCCCGCAGCTGCTGGGAGCTGGGGACACCACAGTGGCTCCCCCGTGCCCTGCCCTGCCCGGACCGTTAGGAGGTGAGGCCTGGCTCCTCCCGCTCCCGGCCCGGCGGGGCCGCACCGACGTTCGCTGTCAGCGGCAGCCGCACTCGTCCACCACCATGTCCTCGTAGTGCCGCAGGACCACATTGTCGCTGTTGTCGAAGAAGAGCACGGAGATGGGCGACAGGCGCGCGGGCACGCAGCAGGGCAGGCCGCCGGTGCCGGGCGCGGCCG